CTGTATTCAGTCGTTGAACACAGCGCGGTGGACGAGACGAATCAGCCAGTCCGAGTCGAGACCGAGTCCTCGACACGGACTTCGATCCATCGCCACCGAGTGCAACTTGTGGCGTAGACTCCGTGCGGTAGTAGCGACAGCAGAGCGACGAGGAGGCGACTGACCGCAGGTGAGCGAGAACCCCTGGGGTTGAATGGGTGACGGCCGGGATCATCAATTACCCTGACGGACGCTTAACGCAGAATGCTATCGGGCGTAGCGAGCTGGGATCCGAGTGCTTTAGCGCACACAAAAGGCGTACGGGCGGTCGTAGTGGCTGGACACCCCCCCACCCACCCCCTCGCTCTCTCTCTCGTGTGCTAACGTTGCCGGCCTTCAGAGGTGCTGGCTACACTCGTGAACAGCACTTGCCCCCAAAATGTCTGTTAGAGGTAGAGAGTGGGGGTGGGAGGGGGGTAGCTTGTCCTTTGCCTTTATAAAGGGCGCAGCAGTGGCTAGGAGATGTTAACTACCTCGCTAGGTACGCAGGAGGTCGTGGGTTCGATCCCGACCCTGACGCCTGCTGCTGTATATTTGGAGTTTGCGTGTCTCTCTCTTTCATCATCATCACGGTGGCTAGGAGATGTTAACTACCTCGCCTGGTACACAGGAGGTCGTGGGTCCGATCCCGACCCTGACGCCTGCTGCTGTATATTTGGAGTTTGCGTCTATCTCTCTCTCTCTCTCATCATCATCACGGTGGCTAGGAGATGTTAACTACCTCGCCTGGTGTGCAGGAGGTCGTGGGTCCGATCCCGACTCTGACGCCTCCTGTATATTTGGAGTTTGCGTGTCTCTCTCTCTCATCATCATCACGGTGGCTAGGAGATGTTAACTACCTCGCCTGGTGTGCAGGAGGTCGTGGGTTCGATCCCGACCCTGACGCCTGCTGCTGTATATTTGGAGTTTGCGTGTCTCTCTCTCTCTCTCCCCGTGGTCGCGTGGATTTGCCTCCGGGTTTCCCCCCCTCCACATTTTAGAATCATCGCTGCGCGTTCCCAGAGCGTCTGGCTGCTCTTCATTTCCACACGACGTGAAGCCACTTTCGTTGAGCTATCATTCGTGGCTAGCCGCGTGGCTTCTGAAAACGAGCCACGTGGCTCAGTGGCGCCTTACCTGGTCAAATTTATAAACAAAAATAGTTAATTTGTGGGGAGCGGTGGGCGCAGTGGTTAGCGCACTGCGCTACGAGCCGCCCGGCGACCCGAGTTGGATTCCCGCTCGCGAGCGATGACTTCGACGGCGGATTTTTTTCCGAACCGGTCCTGAGCCTTCGCCTAGGTCTACTCGGCCTTAACTGAATTCTCGATGCGATCTGTCAAAAACGTCAGCGCTGTGGAAGACAAAGACGGCCGGGTGTAAGGTGCTGGCCACTCTACCCTGCGACTCACACGTATGTTGTATGTATGTTTTATATGTATGTTGCATGTATGTTGCATGTATGTTGTATGTATGTTGCGATTTGCATGTATGTTGCATGTATGTTTGCATGCATGTTGCATGTATGTTTTAGATATGTTGCAATTTGTATGTATGTTACATGTATGTTGTATGTATGTTGCATGTATTTTATATGTATGCTGTATGTGTGTTGCATGTATGTTATATGTATGTTGTATGTTGCATGTATGTTGTAGATATGTTACATGTTGTATGCATGTTGCATTATGTCGCGTGTATGTTGTATGTATGTTGCATGTGTGTTGTATGTATGTTGCATGTATGTTGTAGATATGTTGTATGTGTGTTGTAGGCCCTTTACTTTTCGTCGGCTCTAAGGCACAGTGCCAACTGTGCCTATTGGATAATACGGCCCTGGTATAGCGTGGCGTGTGTAGTGTATAGTGTAGTGTATAGTGTAGTGTATAGTGTAGTGTATAGTAGTGTAGTGTATAGTGTAGTGTATAGTGTAGTGTATAGTAGTGTAGTGTATAGTGTAGTGTATAGTGTAGTCTATACTAGTGTATAGAGTAGTGTATAGTGTAGTGTATAGTGTAGTGTATAGTGTATTGTGTGCTGTCTGTTGAACTTCTTTCGCACTGTACGTCGTCAACCGCGCGAATCGGAGATGCCGGGGGAAGGGCGGCAAACTAAACACAAAAAGTAGTTCTAAAGAAGTTCGTTTAATTCAATTTATTATAGTGGTGTCGTGTATAGTAGTGTATAGTAGTGTGGTGTATCGTGTATTGCAGTGTATAGTGTAGTGTATTGTCATATATAGAGCTGTGTATAGCGTAGTGTGTGTAGTGTATAGCGTAGTGTATGTACGTTGAACTTCTTTCGCACCGTACATAGCCACCCGTGATCATTATAATCGGAGGTGCGGCTGGGGAGGGGATAAGGACAACAAACTAAACACACACTAAGACGCAGTTGCGAAACGAATGAGCTTTCAACCGAGATCATTTAAAAGCGTGCAGCTCCACGTGGCTTCCCAGTAGCCTTCATAGACCGCGCCACTCGCTCACAGGGGAGGGTGATCTTTGTCAGTCACGTCGTGTATTCACGAGAGGACGTTCAGGCTTCGGGGAAACTTTGCAAGGAAGTACAGTACAATGCATTTTGGCCCAATGCAGCTATACAAAAGCCATTCCACCCCCCACCCTCCACAACCGCCGCACCCCCCCCCCCCTCCATACTATTCTCGCAGATGTCAAGCCAAGTTGACCTTTAGATCGTCGCTCCATCGATGGACGATCCACCACAGGTGATAAGAGAGAGAGAGACAGAGAGACACGTGGCCCATAGCGCTGGCTGGGCTTGGCTGGGCCACGAGTCGACCACGTGTTGGCCGTTGCTGCGTTTGTGAATTGTCGTGCTCGTGTGTGTCAACTTGATGTGTGTGTGGGTGTAAGTTGATGCGTGTGTGTGTGTCGACGTGCGTGTGTCCGGCAAAACCACCTCCCTACCTCCGCGTTGGTGCCGGACGGCAACGCTGTGGTGAGCAGTGCCGTGGGGGGGGGAGGGCCAATTTAGATTGGCCATTCCCCTCATGGCGTTTGTAACCACCACAGCGGCCAAATGGGGGCTCTGGATGGGTGCGAGGGGCTGGTAACCCCTCCACCTTCAATGAATTACCACTAAACCACGATTTAAAACTTTAATTAAGCTTGTGCCGGAGGCCCCGGGGGGGGGGGGGGGGCAGGCGTCTATGACGTCTCCTGGTCAAACCTCATTTGGCGGAGCCAGGAGACTGAATATCTACCCTCGGGGCTCCTCCAGAAATAACGAAAAACCACTACGGGTGGCCACGTCGAATGTTTGAACGCTCACTGCGGAGGAGAGGCTGCCACTCCTCTGTTGGGAGCTGGACCGGTATCGCCTAGATCTCTGTGGTATTCAGGAGGTCCGGTGGACCGGCTCTGGCTCCTGCCACCATGAGGAGTGAACAGTCCTCTACTCGGGGCAGGAGGTGTCTGCCAAACAACAGGGAGTGTTTCTTCTTCTGAACAAAAAAATGAAGGGAGCATGGGAGCGTGGCAGTGAGGTGTGGGAAGCTGTAAGCTCCGGGCTACTTTGGTACTCGCCTTCCCATCAACCAGAGGCGAGGAGTGGTGGTCGTGGTTACTTATGCCCCCACCGAAGACGAACATCCATAGAAGGATGCAGGCAAGGCCGATGAGTCAGATGCCTTCTATGACCTCCTGTCACAGGCCATCTTGTTGGGTGACTTCAATGCCCGAGTTGGTCATGATGCTGGCACCTGGTCTGGAGTGATTGGAAGGCATGGACCAGATCAGCTCAATAACAACGGTAGGAGGCTGCTAGATTTTTGTGCAGCCCATGAGCTTATAATTACCAACATGCTGTTCCGGCATTGGCGCGTCCACACAACATCATGGATGCATGCCGGGTCCAAGCAAAAACATCTGCTGGACTACATAGTGACGGGACAGCGGATGCGGGCCCATGTCCTTGACACCAGGACCTACCATGGAGCTAATCTGCCCACTGACCATCGACTTGTCATCTGTAAGATGTGCCTGCCATTCCGGTGGTGGGTGTACACTCAGGACCCGATTCAAACCCATGTTGGCCTGGTCTCAGCTAAATGATGAAAGTTGCAAGTGACAATTTCATCATCACTTGCAGCCGGCGTTGGCATCGTCCCCTGCTATACACCGTATGACAGATACACCGTATTGCCAGCGTGCGTGTGTGCCACGGTGGTAGATGTTAACTACCTTGCCTGGTGTACAGGAGATCGTGGGTTCGAACCTGACACTGACACCTGCTGTATATTTGGAGTTTGCGTGTCTCCCTCTCTCTCTCGCCATGGGTTGTTACCCTCCACATTTTTAATCAACCACCACTGCAATAAATGCCCACGTGATGATGAAGCCACTTTTGTCGAGCTATCAATTGTGATGGCCAGGGTCGCTTATGAAAAAGAGCCACACAGCTCAGCAGTGGGGCCTTACCTGCTGAAATAAAAAGTAGCTTAGTTTTAGTATGGGTCTCTGTGGGTTATTGTGGGTCTCTGTGGGTGTATGGGTCTCGTTGAGTATGGGTCTCTCTGGATCTCTGATCTCTCCCTAGAAGCATGCGTTTAGAGTGTTTCGCCGCTATAAATGTCCACGTGATGATGATAAAGCCACTTTCGTGGGGGCTATCGTTTGTGATGGCCGGCGTTGCTTCTACACAGCTTCAATGGGGCCTTACCTGGTGCAATATATAAAAAAACAAATAGTTCAGTTTTTATTTCTACTGCTCCCAGTCAACACCACGTTCATTCATTCATCTTGCCCACCATCTTGTTATCTCAGTACATGGGGGTGCCGCGGTGGCGAGATGTTAACTACATCGCCTGGTGTAGCAGGTCATGCGCTCGAGTTTGCATGTTCTCCCACCGTGGTCGCGCGGATTTTTCTCCGGGTCCTCCGGGTTTCTCCCTCCACAATCAGACCGAACGTCGCGCGTTCAGAGTATTCAGCTGCGATCGTTTGTGGCCCCGGTTGCGGATGGACCGCCGTCCGGCCGGGCCCAACCGGTGCTTCGTGTGCCACCGCGTGCTCAGCTGCCAGAGCGCGCTCAAGATGCACTACCGCACGCACACGGGGGAGAGGCCCTTCCAGTGCCACGTGTGCGGCCGTGCCTTCTCCACCAAGGGCAACCTTAAGGCGCACTACTCGGTGCACAAGGGCGTCGCGGCGGCGGCAGCGGTGATGCCGAACGGAGGCGGGGCCTCCTTACCTGGTAAAATAAGTTGACAAAAATATTAATTTTTTTCCTTTTATATTTCTCCACGCAGGCGGCTCGAGCCGGGAGAAGAACGGGAACGGAGCCTTGGGGTTCCACCCGGAGAGGCGCTCGCAGGCCTCGGCGGAGCCGGCCGCCGCCGCTGGCCTCAAGCGACTGCGCTCCGAGCGCCTGGAGGAGCAACTCTCGAAGAGACTCGCGGTGGCGGCGGCGGCGGCGGCGTCGTCGCCGCGACACCGCGTCGAGCAACGACGTCCGCTGACGTCGCCCAACGGGGACGGGCAGAGACCACGAGGGGGCGACGAGGCGGAGAGCGAGGCCGACGCTCCGGACCGCCGCCAGGACCCGCGGTCCGGCAGCGACGGCGACAATGACATCGGTGACGGAAGCTCGCCGAACGGGAGCGGGGCTCCCCTGCTCCCTGCCCCCCCTCCTCCTCCTCTTGCCCCTCCTCCGCTATGCCCCTCGACGCTGCCGGCCATCGTGAGCCAGCTGGTGGCGCTGCAGCGGCAGCAGGTCCAGCAGCTGCGGCTCATCGACGAGATCCGCGAGCAGATCGTGCTCATCGCCCCGCACGCGTCCTTTACGGCCCGTGGGGGCAAGCGGCCGCGTCCCACCGCCGGCGGACCTTCCCCGGGAGCCCAGCAGCTCTGCAGAGACTTCGACGGAGGGGACGAGCCACCGCTCCCTTCCATCCCGAGCGGCCCCGCGTCCCCGCCGGCGGCGTCCTCCTCCTCCCCGCGGCGCAATGCGAACGCGTCGCCGTTCGGCGCGGACCCCATCGGACTCCGCTCCCACCTCCGCGGGACGTCCGCCGCCGGCGGCACCGCGACCCGATCGATGGCCGCCAGCCAGCCCGTCGCCACCGACGACTTCGCAGACGGCCGGCTCTCTCCGGAGAGCGCGCCCAGGATCAAGGTGAAGTCCGAGGCGTTCGGCGGAGACGGGGCCCCGGAGTCACGCTCTGGCTCTGGCGAGCGCCGGGCGCTCGGAAACCGCCAGGCTGGCCGAGCGGGCCTCGGCTCGCGCCTGCGCGGTCATGGGGAGGCGTTGACGCGCCTCGGCCATGACCCCCGCGTCGGCTTTCCCGAGCGCCCGCGAATCCCTTTCGGGGCAACCTTCAGCGGCGACGAGGACGCGGCGGCGGCGATGCTGGCGGCGTCATCGTCGTCGATGTCCGGCTTCGGCGGCGATCCGGCGTCGCTGTCATCGCGCCTGGTCGGAGCGCGGGCCTCGTGGCGGCGCGGGCCTCGTGGCCGCGAGCCGCACGCCGTTCCGTTCGGCTACGAGGGACCGGGAGGCGGGGACGCGGCGGGAGACGCGGGCAGACCCCCGCGAGCGCCCGAGACGTCCAAGCTGCAGCAGCTCGTGGAGCGGATGGACCGCCGTCCGGCCGAGCCCAACCGGTGCTTCGTGTGCCACCGCGTGCTCAGCTGCCAGAGCGCGCTCAAGATGCACTACCGCACGCACACGGGGGAGAGGCCCTTCCAGTGCCGCGTGTGCGGCCGTGCCTTCTCCACCAAGGGCAACCTTAAGGCGCACTACTCGGTGCACAAGGGCGTCGCGGCGGCGGCGGCGGCGGCGGCGGCGGTGATGCCGAACGGAGGAGAAGGAGGAGGTGGCAGCCCGGACGCCGAAGCCGAAGGGGGCGCGGGCGGGGACGAGGAGGACGAAGAGGTCGAGGAGGTCGAGGAGGAGGAAGAGGAGGGGGGTGGCGGCGCTGCGGACCGGGACGACTGGACGTCCGAGTACGGGAGCTCCGACGCGGGCGACCACGACGGGTGGCGAGCCCCCGCCGCCCGCTGGCCGAGCCCGGAATCTCCGGCGCCGCGGACGACGGGCGTCGGGCCGGAGCCCCGCGAGCGGCCGCGCGGCCACGGCGGCTCGGGGACGGCGTCGCCGCCGAGCCCGCCGGGCGACCGGGCGTCGGAGAGCTCCGTGGCCTCGGCGTCACCTCCGTCGCCGCGGGACGCCGGCCCCGAACCGAGGGTGGAGGCGGGGGCCGGCGGAGCGGAGGGGTCGCGTCCCGGCAGCGGCGGCCGCCCGGCGTTCGCCGGCCGGGACCGCGAGCGCGCGCGCTGCGTGGCGTGCCTCGCGTGCGGCAAGACCTTCTCGTGCCAGAGCGCGCTCGAGATCCACCACAGGAGCCACACGAAGGAGCGGCCCTTCCTCTGCACCTACTGCGGCCGCGGCTTCAGCACCAAGGGCAACCTGAAGCAGCACCTGATGACCCACCGCGCCGACCTGCCCGCCGACGCCGTGGCCCTGTTCGCGGCGGGCGGCGCGGAGCCGGGGTGCTTCCCGCCGATCTCGGCGTTCGGCGGCGCGGGCGAAGCGCGGACGGCTCCGGCCGCGGGCGTCGGCGAGCGACCGTCGCTCGTCGCGTCTTCGCACGGAATTCCGCCGGCGGGGTGTCCGTCGTCGCCGACGGCGGCGGCGGCGGGCCGGCGCTCGCACAAGCAGCGGGACTGCCCCACGTGCGGCAAGGCGTTCTCTTCGAGCAGCGCCCTGCAGATCCACGAGCGCACCCACACGGGGGAGAGGCCCTTCGCGTGCAGCGTCTGCGGGCGAGCGTTCACCACCAAGGGCAACCTCAAGGTACGTCCCGGAAGGTCGATTCACGGGGGCTTCTGCCGTCACGCGGGTTCTTCCGTTCGGAAACGCGTGGAACGCACCGTTGACGACTTACTGTCATCATGACGATGGTGACAGCGATGATGAAGTTTGCGATGATGACAACGATTACTATTATGGTGACGATGATGATGACTGCGGCAATGATGATGATGATGACAAACCCTACTTTTATGATGAAAGTGATGATGAAAATTACGATAACGATGACTATTATGATGCAGGTGTGGAGCGGTGGTGCAGCGGTTAGGGCGACGCGCTACGAATCCCGCGACCCAATGTCGATTCCGGTGACGATTACCTGAACCGGTCCTGGTGGGCCTCCCCTAGGTCGACTCGGCCTCGAATGAGTACCGGGTGCGGTGCGGTGTGTAAATACCGCCACCGGGGAGACAAAGGCGGTCGGGCGTGGTCTTGGCCACCCACCGCCTCATGTGCCGTGCCGGCCTTCGCCAGCGCCGCTCCTCGCGAGCAGCGCTTGCCCTGACAGTCTGGTGAAGGCTACACGGGGGATCTTTGTCTTTGCAGGTGCACATGGGCACCCACGTGTGGAGCAACAGCACCGTCACGAGGAGGGGCAGGCGAGTGTCACTGGAGGGTCCCCTCCTCCTACTCAGCGGGCTCCCCCCCACCTCCTCCGCGTTACCATCGGGTACGCTCACCACAACGAGCTCCCCCCCCCACCAATCCCCCCAACTCCCCCCCTCTACCCATCCCCCCCCATCCCTCCTCCCCCCCGGAGGTCGCCAGCTGAAACGACGACGGCGACGATGATGATGATGATGACGATGATGATGATGACGACGACGATGATGATGACGATAATACAAGTGTTCTCAAAATCCGCCATCGGTTTAATTGGGTGCATCACAGCTGATCCATCGGTATGTGCAGTCCGTGCTCACAGTACGTAGTCAACCGTGCTAATCGCAGGCGCGTGAGTCTATAGGTCTCTGTGTGAGTCTACGGGTCTCTGTGCTAGTCTATGGATCTCTGTGTGAGTCTATGGGTCTCTGCGTGAGTCTACGGGTCTCTGTGCGAGTTTATGGGTCTATGTGTGAGTCTACGGGTCTCTGTATGAGTCTATGGGTCTCTGTGTCAGTCTATGGGTCTCTGTGCGAGTCTATGGTCTCTCTGTGAGTCTACGGGTCTCTGTGCGAGTCTATGGGTCTCTGTGTGAGTGTATGGGTCTCTGTATTAGTCGACGGGTCTCTGTGTGTGTCTTCGGGTCTCTGTGTAAGTGTATGGGTCTCTGTGTGAGTCTATGGGTCTCTGTGTGAGTCTATGGATCTCTGTGCGAGTCTACGCGTCTCTGTGTGAGTCTACGGGTCTCTGTGCGAGTCTATGGGTCTCTGTGTGTGTCTACGGGTCTCTGCGAGTCTGTGGATCTCTGTGCGAGTCTATGGGTCTCTGTGTGAGTCTATGGATCTCTGTGCGAGTCTATGGGTCTCTGTGTGAGTGTATGGGTCTCTGTATTAGTCGACGGGTCTCTGTGTGTGTCTTCGGGTCTCTGTGTGAGTGTATGGGTCTCTGTGTGAGTCTATGGGTCTCTGTGTGAGTCTATGGATCTCTGTGCGAGTCTACGCGTCTCTGTGTGAGTCTACGGGTCTCTGTGCGAGTCTATGGGTCTCTGTGTGTGTCTACGGGTCTCTGCGAGTCTGTGGATCTCTGTGCGAGTCTATGGGTCTCTGTGTGAGTCTATGGATCTCTGTGCGAGTCTATGGGTCTCTGTGAGTCTATGGGTCTCTGTGCGAGTCTATGGGTCTCTGTGTGAGTCTACGGGTCTCTGTGTGAGTATATTGGTCTCTGTGTAAGTCTATGAATCTCTGTGCGAGTCTTTGGGTCTCTGAGTGAGTCTATGGGTCTCTGTGTGAGTCTATGGGTCTGTGTGAGTCTGTGTGTCTCTGTGCGAGTCTATGGATCTCTGTACGAGTCTATGGGTCTCTGTGTGAGTCTACGGGTCTCTGTGCAAGTCTATGGATCTCTGTGTGAGTCTACGGGTCTCTGTGCCGGTCTACGGGTCTCTGTGCGAGTCTACGGGTCTCTGTGCGAGTCTATGGGTCTCTGTGCGAGTCTATGGATCTCTGTACGAGTCTATGGGTCTCTGTGCGAGTCTATGGGTCTCTGTGTGAGTCTACGGGTCTCTGTGCGAGTCTATGGATCTCTGTGTGAGTCTACGGGTCTCTGTGCGGGTCTACGGGTCTTTGTGCGAGTTTATGGGTCTCTGTGCGAGTCTAGGGGTCTCTGTGTGAGTCTATGGATCTCTGTGCGAGTCTGTGGGTCTCTGTGTGAGTGTATAGTGAGGTTGACAATCTAGATGATGATTTAAAAGAGCCATAGCTCCAGTGGCTTCCTAATATCGGCTGCTGCTGCGGCGGCCGCTGACCTTCCCGGCTCCTCATCTGTGGTTCCTCTTCCTCCTGGGGCCTCCGAGTCTACTGGACACCAGTGAACAAAGAGCTTCATAGCTCATCGGATTTCTCCTGCAGTATAAATCCATATTCTGATTTTGATTAGAAGCTTTCTTGACTGCAGGATTTCATACTCTTCTGTTATTTCGGTAAAGTCACGTGGATAGGAAAATAAATCAATAAAAGATCATGACGTTACGATCGCAACAGCCAGCGAAGGAACCTAAGGGTATCATCTTCTGATTCTGCCCCCTCTCCTTTCTCCCCGCGAGAGCGAGGAGTGGAAGCTGTGCGGTGGTGGTGCAGCGTTCCAAGTTGACACCTCCACCACCACCACCAACACCACCGTCATCATCATGCCGTCTCGCCTCAACGTCTTCACCCCTACTCTCCCCGCTCCCTCGCCAGGAATTCCAGTCGGGAGCTTTGGCGGCGCTGGCGGCCACACGAACCTGGCTCTCTGGCCGGATCACCGTCGCTCCACCAACGCCGCCGTGATTCTCAACGCGGCGACGGTGACGGTGGCGCCTCCCTTCACTCGCGCCGCTGTTGCTCACGGCGGCGGCGGCGGTGGCGGCGGTGGTGGCGGCGGTGGCAGTGGTGGCAGCGGTGGTGGTGGCAGCGGTGGTGGTGCCAGCGGTGGTGCCAGCGGTGGTACCAGCGGTGGTGGTGGTGGTGGTGGTGGCGGCGGCGGTGGTGGCAGCGGTGGTGGCAGCGGTGGGGGCGGTGGCGACGGCCGCGGTGGTCTCCACGAAACGTCGGGACCGCTGGACCGTGGGGAATATTTCAACGGAGACGAGGAGACGGAGGAGACGGAGGAGGGGGAGGTTGAGGAGGAGACCGGGATGGAGGAGGAAGAGGAGGAAGAGGAGGAGGAGGAAGAGGAGGAGATGCTGGGAGACGCGAGTGATGTCTCCCAGGATAGAGGTGTTGGCAGGAGTGCAGGGATCTATCCGGGGTCAGTGCAGTTCAGCCCGGATGTAAAATCTCGGTCCATTTGTAAATAGCGAGTGCGGAAAAGAATGCGAATTGTCATGTACGTCATGTACGTCATGTACGTCATGTACGTTGAACTTCTTTGGTGTCGTGCGTAGCCAATCGTGCTCATCGGAGGTGCGGTGGGGGGGGGAAGGACAACAAACTATGGGACTCTGTGTGAGTCTATGTGTCTATGTGTGAGTCTATGTGTCTCTGTGTGAGTCTATGGATCTCTGTGCGAGTCTGTGGGTCTCTGTGCGAGTCTATGGGTATCTGTGTGAGTCTATGGGTCTCTATGTGTGAGTCTATGGGACTCTGTGTGAGTCTATGGGTCTCTGTGTGAGTCTTTGGGTCTCTGTGTGAGTCTATGGATCTCTGTGTGAGTCTCTATTCTCGGTTCCAGCAGAGACATAGACTCACACAGAGACCCATAGACTCACACAGAGACCCATTTATTTAGAACTGATTTTTGTTGTCATTTTCCCGCACCTCCGATTCTGACGGTTGGCTACGTATGGCGCGAAAGAAGTTCAACGTACACACACACGGTGCATGTGGAGGGGGTGGCTGAGTGTCTTTCCCTCTCTGTCTCCGTCTGAATCGTCAGCTTCAACAGCATGGGTTTGACACCTGTATCTCTGGGTATTTTTCTCTCTCTCTCTCTCGAAATACGTGAGCAATCCAGTCATTCTCAATTGACCAATTGAAGGAGGCCTCCCCGTACCATGCCTTTGCGTGGTGTTTTTGACCATACTTCACCACGCTGGTCAGGGGAAGGGTTAAGGCCTAGTTTGTGGCATCACTCGCCACTGATGTTAGCCGTGCCTGGGAATCCCACTTGTGCAGTGCGCTAACCACTGTGCCACCACTCCACCCTCGTCTCTCTTTGGTTGAGTTCATAATGGCCGTGTCAAAAGTCGCATAGCCAGCACCACTGAGAGCCTGGGTTTGAGTCCGGGTCTCTGCTGCCCGTGATGAACACAGACTGAGAGCCTGGGTTTGAGTCCGGGTCTCAGCTGGCCGTGATGAACCCCAGACCGAGAGTCTCCGTGACACGAACCGTCGTGGGAGCGACCGCCACGCGGCCTCTAGTGGCTGGCGACGGAGGCTCCAGTTGATGATGATGATGAAGAAGAAGCGAACCCCGTGGTTTCTTCGCCTCATCGCGGATGCCGCTCGCTCCGTGGCGCCTCCTGCCTCACCCCACCCTCACCCACCGAGTCAACTCGCAATACCTCCTCACCTCACCACTACTCACCTCGCCCTGCAAGGCGTTGCAGGGCTGCGCCTCTATCTCCTCTGGGAACCGCGTGGCGTCCAATGGACGTGCAATGCGATGGCATTTGAGCTACACTCAGGCCTTCATATATCGGCGTACTCTAGTGGTAGTGCCTTACGCCGACACGCCCTACACCCATGCGGGTCTGAGCAGCGTTAACGAAGGATTGTTCCGGAGGGTGGGTTTGGCAATTCAGCCCATCATCGCTTCAGGGCAGGTAAAATTTGAGTACAGTTTACAACTTCGTGAAGTGTTTACACTGGCAGTCGAATATACGGATGTACTGGCTCCGTCGTGGGATCGTGGGATTTCCACCACTCAGTTGAGTATGGAGCTCGTCTGGCTCTCGCAAGCTAAGCAGGTCTGAGCCTGGATAATGTTTGGATGGGTGATCACAGTGCATTACAGGTGTTGTGAGAATTATTTTTTGTACATATAGCATCGTTGATAACAAAGAAAAAAAAGCGGTATCTAACATCGCTGGAAGAGAAAGTAATACATAAAAAATATTGCATTTCGAAACACTGTAAACTAAACTAAACTATTAAACAATTTTTCATCTTACCAGGTAAGGCCCCACTGGGCCTGGCCATCACAAATGAGAGCTCAACGAAAGTGGCTTCATCATCATCATCATCGCGTGGAAATTCATAACAGCGGCCAAATACTCTAAGCGCGTGGTGACGTTGATTCTAAACGTGGAGGAGAAAAACCCAGAGGGCCCTGAAGAAAGAGAGACACGCAAACTCCAAATATACAGCAGCAGGCGTCATGGGTCGGGATCGAACCCACGACCTCCTGTTCACCAGGCGAGGTAGTTAACATCTCCTAGCCACCGTGATGATGATGAGAGAGACACGCAAACTCCAAATATACAGCAGCAGCAGGCGTCAGGGTCTGGGATCGAACCCACGACCTCCTGTACACCAGGCGAGGTAGTTAACATCTCCTAGCCACCGTGATGATGATGATGAGAGAGAGAGACACGCAAACTCCAAATATACAGCAGCAGGCGTCAGGGGTCGGGATCGAACCCACGACCTCCTGCACACCAGGCGAGGAAGTTAACATCTCCTAGCCACCGTGATGATGATGATGAGAGAGAGACACGCAAACTCCAAATATACAGCAGCAGGCGTCAGGGGTCGGGATCGAACCCACGACCTCCTGCACACCAGGCGAGGTAGTTAACATCTCCTAGCCACCGTGATGATGATGATGATGAGAGAGAGAGAGATACGCAAACTCCAAATATACAGCAGCAGGCGTCAGGGGTCGGGATCGAACCCACGACCTCCTGCACACCAGGCGAGGTAGTTAACATCTCCTAGCCACCGTGATGATGATGATGAGAGAGAGAGAGATACGCAAACTCCAAATATACAGCAGCAGGCGTCAGGGTCGGGGGGTCGAACCTACGACCTGCTGTATACCTGGCGAGGTAGTTAACATCTCCCCACTATAGGAGTTATGGATCAGGAATCGAGATAATGAATAACCATTCCGAATCCACTAATTGCGATTCCGACCCCATGCTCGACCCCGTAACGGCCTCGCATCCCGTGGCGCGACCCCCTCGACGCTTTTCATTGGTCAGTCATTGCGTGGCAATCGCTTCCCATTGGCTAGACTCGGCTCATGCATCACGTCCTCCCCAACCACGCCGTTCCACGTGATAAGCCACTTCGTCGAACTGTGATTTGTGATCACTGAACCCACGACCTCCTGTATACCATGCGAGGTAGTTAACATCTCATGCGCATCCAAAACTAACGTGAATTTAATTATAGGCCCAAATAAACGAGACGTGTGTATTTTTGATGAGGGGCCGTCCATAAATGACGTCACGCACCTGGGGGGGGGGGGGCAGACATTTGTGACGATGTGTGACGAGGGGGGGGAGTTTCAGAAATGTTACGTCACATCAAAATGCACAACGTTAAATAAATATAAGCAACACGTTCTACTTAATAAAATACACTTTTTAATAAATGTCGTCTCCTACAACATCAGAGTGCAGCGCCACATTAAATACGCACTACAATGACAATAGTTTAATAGTTTAAAGCGATTTGAAGCATGTTTTATTTGTGGGGGGTGGGGGGCAGAGCTTTGTGACGTCATATTTGAGGGGGGGGGGTCTGACTTTTTGTGACGCCGTGTGACGAAGGGTCAAAAGTCGTCCAAAATCGCGTGAAGTCATTTATGAACAGCCCCTGAGACCTGATAGACTTTGGGGCCTGCGTATTGGACAGCAGGCGGGGTTGGTGACTCTGACGTCTATGCTCCCAACAGACCAGCGTGGTGAAGTATGGTCAAATAACCCGCATGGCGTGGGAGAGGTTCTCATCCAGCAGTGGATTGACAGCAGGGTCTTGCTGTACACGTGCATGTTATATATATCGGAGTGTATGTATATGTGTGTGGGTGCTCGCTAAGAGTTCGTTAAGGCTATAGGGGAGCTCTTTGTCTTTGTTGTGTGTGTCGGTAGTGTAGCGGTCAGCGCTCCGCACCACGAACCCAGCCCACCCGAGTTCGATTCCCACTCACGGCCAGCAAACACCGCTGACGAATATCTGAACCGGTCCTGGGCCTCCTTTAGTTCGACTCAGCCTCAAATAAATACCACGTGCGGTGTACAAACATGGTCACTGGGGAGACAAAGGCGGCCGGGCGTGGTGCTGGCCACCCATCCCCCTCGTTTGCCACAGTGCCGGTAGCCTTCATAGGTGCTGCTCGCTAACAGCACTTGCCCCAACAGTCTGCTGAGGCTATCACAGGGTGGGTGGGATCTTTGTCTTTGTGTGTACGTGAACCGAAACCATAATACGAACGTCCACGTACTTGCTTGAGCCTTGAGCCTAATGTTAATTTAAAATAACCACCGTATGCACTATGCAAACAAGTTCGTTTGCTCGATTGTATTTGCTAGCTTTGATTAGAGAAATTTTAAACCCAAATGTAACCGTGGATTTTGAATGTGTCGAATGTTTGTTTGTTTTTCATATTGAAAATCTGCGTAACGCTGCTCCATGGAAGCTTCGGGTTTATTGTTGTTGTTGTTGGTATCGGGCCACTGTTGTGCCCTCCCTTGACTCTGCTTCCGAAACCTGGAGCCGTTTACCGGACTATCTGTGAAAAAAAGCTTCAAGGCCCATCGTATTCCTCGCAGTATAAAATAAATATTCTGATTGTTGAACAACTGCGCCGGTTTGAAACATTCAGGCTGGCCCTGTTTTCGATCCGTCCTGGGGTTAGCCAGACTGGATTGTGCGAGGAGCTCACAGATTGTTAAACCACCTGTACACAGTCC